CTTGTAGGGCAGAGTTGGGCTGTTTCCCATTACTAATAGACACCAAGAAAAACCTTATCAAGTATTGGTTACGCATACAAGGGCTTCCAGATAAATGTCTTACAAAACAAGCATATTATGAACAAATGAAATTCAATTTACCATGGTGTTCATCGGTTCAGAATTTAGTTATTGACTCAAGAATTCAAACTAGTTGATAAACATTGATAAGACTTTAAAAGAAAACTATATTACATTTTGGAAACAGAATGTCAATCAAGAAAACACAAAACTAAGAACATATGCAAAATTCAAAAACACTTATAATTTTGAGTCATACTTAAATTGTCTTCCGAAAAAACATCAAGTCTGCATGTCACGCTTCCGAACAAGTAACCATTGTTTGGCTATTGAAAAAGGAAGGCACACACAGCCAAAAACTCCCATTGAAAAAAGAATTTGTAATTTATGTTCCCAAAATAAAATAGAAGATGAAGTTCACTTCCTTTTAGAATGTGATCGGTACAAACATATTAGACATGAATTGCTCACAGAAATTACATTAACTAATGCAGGAGATAAATTGAGTAATTTTATATTTTTGATGAGCAACAAGGACTCCAAGGCAATTAAATGTATGGGGACCTATCTACTTAAAGCCATGGAATACAGAAAACTTTAACGTATCTATTTATATTGTATTGTAATTGTGTTGTGTACGGATATATTTATTGCTTTTTACCAAAAGAAATATTGTAATTTCTAAGGATGCAATAAAATTTGATTATTATTATACCTGATTTTTCTCTGGTGAAAAAAAATCCAATACATCATCCAGCATCACGGGAATATGCAGTTGCTCGTTGCTATGAACAGTCAGTCGTCGCTGAGATGGAGTGCTTGATAAAATACCACTGGAACAATATTGCATAAATGGAAGTCGTACAATTTGGCGACTCATGTATGTAAACATTCTTGACGTGTGTAACAAACCCATAACTGCGTGAACACTCCCTTGGGCCTTGCCAAACTATGAATTCCGATACGACCGTTTATGGATTATACATTGATGTATTAAACAGAATCATAATATAAACACCTTCTAAGTCATTACTCTGTTGATCATGCTCTTGTACAGCAACACACCAACACGAGACACGTTGTTTTCACTGGGGCGTGAGGTCATAGGTTACATGTTTGATGGTTTGTTATTTGTTATCCACAATGTCTTCGCGCATGCTCATGTTGATATTAACCAATCAGAATTTAGTTTACAAAATTTGAATTGTTAAAAGCTTAGAACTTTAATTGTTAACGTGTTTCCATATTGTTTACACGCTGTAGCTTCTCTGTGAATATATCAGCAAATACTGATCCTGTTACTGTGCAATTTTCGAAAAGGTATGAATATAGATTTTCTTTATTATATAGCACGAGACAGAATAGCAAATTTATCAAGCTCAGTGCCCTGAAGAATAATGCAGGCCGAGACTTGAGTAATCGGCTTGCAGCACTGTACTGCTGCACGTATAATACAACTCAGCAAGCTCTGTATTACTCTCAAGACGCTAATGCTAATATGATATGATAACGCCTAAGTGATTACGTCGAGGTGACGTCATGATGCCTCATATTTAATGAACATAGCATTGATTGTCGTTCAAAGTTTTATAATTATCCCGGGTTTCAGACATTTGCATTGTCTGTTTTCGTTCAGTCGGTAGTGTCCCGGAAGTACGGACTGCTACGTGTAATCAGGCATACATGTATTATCCTAAATTACTGCAGCGATTACCGTCGTTACTTCTGACAGTAGTATTTATGACATGCTTTATGTGAAAATAATCATCGTTATAGTAACTGCACAGTGGCGAAGCTATCTCGTACCACCAAGTTTTCTAAGGTCTACAAAGAAGGTCTCTACGATTCACAGTCAGTTCGCCCCAATGCACATTCGCCCCAGACCAGTTCGCCCCACAGTCAGTTCGCCCCACAGTCAGTTCGCCCCAAAGTCGGTTCGCCCCAAGTTTACTGGTGTTCGTTTTCGCGGTTATGCGTGCAAGGAAATGTGGTTTTGAAATATTTAAAAATTATACTAAAGTA